ATGTCCGACTGGTATGTTAGCTGGCCGAGTCACAGAAAGTCTTCAAAAACATCGAATAAAGGGAAGTTTTTGCCCTGTAAGAACCTCTGCACATCTCTGTCCTATTTAAAAAGACTTGAACGGATCATCCCCTTGAAAGCCATCTTACTTCTGTATGGACCAAAAGGTCCTCTGAGCTGCGCTTTGATCTTCATATCCATTTTTGCAATATCTGTAGTCTTATTGAGCTGAATAGGAAAATAACAAATGCGCTTAATGTTCTCAGTCGGTATGTTCTTAAGTTCATTTGGTCTGACTGCTGTTTGCAGCAACAGTAAGTTGTTGCAAAGAGGCATCAAGTTAATCTGTTAGGCAGCCTGCAGTACATGATGTCTGTTAACTCTGGCTGGTGGCAGACACAGCTGTTTCCCAGTGACGTGTGGCGTACCAGCTTTAGCTGTGTGGAGAAAGACACAATATGAAGCTCATTGTGCTTTGGCATTGGGTGTAGCATATATCTATATGGCTGACTTTGCTGGTTTGCCTTTCAGCACTGTGTGCTCGGTCGTAGGACGTGATGGTTTCATGCATTTATTACTAAGAATAATAATTCAACCCAAGAAAAGAAAAGAATATTCTAAGAATCTTCATCAATGCACATCATCCTCTGTCCCCTTCCAGAAGAATCCAAACCTGATGTAACTCACCGTTGTGTGCCGTTTGCTGGCATCAGGTATGACTGCTAAGTCGTCACCGTCACTGGTGCTGGTAGCTTCTGCTTACCATCCCAGCTTAGTTTGTCAACCCTTTTACCTTACACCTGGTAAGCTTGTAATCTCATGGCTGATTTAAGTTTTTGTCCTTCTTTATCAAGAAGAACAAAAACATAGTTCAAACTCAATTTCAGTGATCTTGTGGTTAAGAATTAAATATATATAGGAGACTTCCTGCGTACCACAGTTTGAGAGATCTTGCCACCAGGCGTTTCAGTCCAGTCCAGAGAGCATATATGGGTAATGTTCACGCCTTCATCTCGTTGTCCAATAATAACTTTGAGTTTTGATGAATGCTCAAAGTTTTCAGTTTTTCTGCTGAAACAATGCTGTCCTCTGGATTTGATGGGCTACATACTTATTTATTATACAGGCTGTACAGTACATAACATCAAGCTTTACATGTTTTATGTAACTGAAATGTTCAATTATGTGGGCTACAGAAAATAACAGTAATAGACTATATTTATCTGAAATGTGTAAACTTAATGCATTGAGATGATTTTAACCACATGTAACACCTGCGTATGTGCCAGTGTGATAATGATCTAATCACTGAATGAAGTCTGAACTAGTTCAAGCAGTCAGCTCATAACATGGCTCCCTCTCTTCACATCATATGACTAACACACACACTCTTGGATTCTATTTAAAGGACAGCTTCCCCTCTCTCTCGCTCTAACATGTTAGTGCCATTGCTCCTCTTCATCACCGTTTACTACTAAGAAGTGTGAGCAGTGGTCTCCTCTCAATAAAGCCCAAAATGGCTCCCGATGGTCCTGAAACCCCTTAAAAAGCTGAAGCAGATATTTATACTATTATAGCAGTATCTGAAAATGCATGAAGTTACACACTGGCATGTTGCTCAGTACTAATTTGTGGGATCCATCCCTTTAAGGAGATCCAGAGACTGGACCCACACCATATGAGGAAAATGCCCTGAATGGATTCAGCCTCTAGTCATCACACTAGTACCTGCTATCAAACACACAGAAATCTACTGTTCATTTGTGATTATATCAACTGTATATGTGCAGTCGTACTATATATGTAATAATATTACATCTTAATAATAAAAGATGAGGAACAGAGGTATTGACTGCATTTTATTGTGTAACAGTATATACATTTGTGATTTGTCATGAAGTGTGGAATGAGAGGCATGAACATGCAGCACTTAGACACCAGCAGGTGAAGCTGAAAACAAACCTTTAGTTCGGATGCAGAAGATCCACAGAGGGAAAAATTAAACAGCAAAATCCAAACTTTGTGAAGAACAGGGAGCACATGAGAGGATGTTAAAGAATGACCTGAAATAGAACAAAGGAAGCAAAATTAAATGCAAGACACAGAAGACTAGCAAAAAGTAAGGATAATAATAAACACCGAAGGTCCACATGAAGGGAACACTGGGTCTATCATCCAGACTACATTAACTGCAGTACTTTTCATATCTATCCCTTTAAAGTCTTACATTGTAACACAGAAAATAGAAACTGATGCTGACAGTAAACAAGACATTTCAACATGCTGCAAGTTTTTAAGTGAGACTTGGAACCTGTTAGTTTCAAGTCTCCCCTTTCCACTACCCCACGACACCAACAGCTTTAAAATGAATCCGCTGATAGAAGGAACAACAGGTGACACCTGAATGGATCAATCTATTGAGTGCTGAACGCTAACTATTATGTGCAGGTAGCTGAAAAGCTAAAACGGCTAGCATCACCTCAGCCCTTACCTTTGCTAGAAACTCTATTCTTGTCTTAATATCAAGAGAGGGACGTTTCAAAATTTTAATAATGCCTGGAAGACTAGTCATGAAGATTTAGTGCCAAGGTGGAATATAGACAGTTTTTTTTATATTAGTAAGCTATTACCAGTTAGCTTGAGTATACTGGCCGATACTGGCCTTGCAGATGCAGCGTATCCAGTTGTGCTGCAGACTGTGACTGTTCGTTTTTCCTGCCTCAAAGTTATTATTGATGTTTTTACAACAATGTTAGAATTTCCCGGTCTCCACAGTACCTACCTGAATGTAAACACTAGATGCTTTTTTAAGGTCCATTTGCTGTCCTTCGGACGAAGCTATAAATGGTCCATTTTACTCTGCTGAATTTTCTCTTGTGCTGGCTGTTTAACAAAAGTCTTCACCTTCTTATTCCACACAGTACCCTTGTAAAATTGCCCATAATCCACAATTTTTATTTATACTTTAATTTGTTTGCATCATTTTACACTCTGCACATCAAATTTTAGAGCTATATTTGCTGCATAAACCTAGAATTAAACAGTTTTATCTTTTAAATAAAATTATGTTAAATTTGCGGCTGCATTTTTACATATGTTTTGTGTGTAAAAATAAATACATTTTGTGTAGGAAAATATAGAAATAATGATTATTATTCATGTTATTTTACAAAAAGACATTTTAGTTTACAGACTATTTATTTTGTAATTTTATTGAGTTTTGATGTATTTACAGGAAAATTCTGTAACAGTGTTAAATTATGAAATTACAATTCTTTTACAGTGTGTGACATATGAGCTTGATTAAAGTAATGTGTGTGCTCATTTACATTTTGTAAAGCCACGGGTCAAATAACAGATTAAACACTGTTGTTTTCAGCAAAAAGCACTATAACTGCTTCATCTGAACTGGCCACTAAATCAGATTAAAACTCTAAGAAATCAGACGGTGAGTGTCAGTAATACCAGGTGAACGATAGGTAACAAGAAAAAACGAAGCTCTTTGGGTTCTCAGGTTAGGGTGAAGTAAAACTCTGTCTGGATCTTTGCTTGATTAAAAAGCTGGTGTAAAAAACTGCTTCCACTCTGCAGCTGCTGCTTCAAGGCAGAGAAAAATCAATATGTTGATCTGTTATTAAATCATTTACTAAGAAAGAGACCTAATGTTTCAAAATCCACATTTAATCATTTCACCCTTTGTTGCAGCTGATGATGCTACGTTGTTCTTTCTTTATTTTTATGCTATGATGTTTTGTTTATCTTGTTTTGGTTTGATGAGAGTAGAGAAGCTTCTGAGAGGCGTGTAAGACTAAAACTCTGCTTCCTGCTCTCAGCTCTACGGGGTTTTTCAAGAAAGTTTCCCAATCATCTATAAAGCCCACTTTGGCACCACTCAGGCCACCAGCAATTTAAAAATAACGTGCAGCTATATATTCCTGGTCTGAATGGGAGAGGGCCAGGGAAAGCTACAGCATCTGACATTATTTTGGCAAGATACACAACGATGCAACATTTTGCTGAATCTATGTTTATTTTTAGCCAGCGGTTTTAGGGTACCACCAGTGTCACATGTTCTGGCCCTTGGAAGATAATCAGCAATGCTTGCTGCAGTCTTTAGCTTAATGTTTACCAGAACAATCTGCAGGAGGGACAGATGAAGAAGACATGCTGCTTGTGATTTGGCTAACATTTGTATAACCATGTGGCAGCAACTGCCTTAAGCAGATATCTGTAGCTGAGGAGTTACAACAAGTGATCTACCGATTGGAAAATCGATCCCTGGCTGCCCCAGTGTCCAGTCTCCATGCCTAAGTGTCTTTGGGCAAGATGTGTTCACTGAAGTATGATTGTGTGTAAATGTTAGACATGAAGTGTGTAGAAAATAGCTTTTGGGTGAACGAGTGAGTGTGGCACATTGTGTAAAGTACTTTGAGCACAATGTAAGACAGTGTTCATCAGTCTGTCACAAAAGAGCGCCCTACTGCCCATACAGGCAAAATGTAAACAAAAGAAACGATGACAAAGATGTCATCAATACTGACCGCGATATATCATCTGAAACCCCAACAGTGATTTGGAGTGTTTCACCTGCATTTGGATTTTGCTAGCGTGTTCATTTTCACTAATTACCAATTTTTTAAAATTACTTTTAGATTGTTGGCAATATGCTCACACTCGTCAGTTTTGGTTTTGCTTTTTTTTCTAACCCTTAGCCGTAAAAAGCCAGTGGGGTATTATTACTGAAGTCAATAGGATAACTTGAGCACAAGGCGACGGAGGATTATTGAAAGTTCAGAGGTCCCATTTTCTGAAAATGGTGTGAATACGATACCGAGAAGGAAGCCATCCAGGATTTATACCACAGGTGCATCTGCTAAGAGATGTCACACAGAAATGTTGTTCTTGGGTCAACAACCACTTGTCAGAAGTCAGACATGTGTCTGTTGTAATGAATAAATAATAAGATCAACTAAAATTCTCTTCTTCTTTTCTTCTCTGCAGATTGTGTATGAGGTGGTCACAGACAGCTGGCTCACATATGTCGAGGGCGTCTGCGTCATCTGGTTCACCATTGAAGTCATGGCACGCGTTATCTTCTGTCCTGACAAGGCAGAGTTCTTCCGCAGTGCCCTGAACATAATAGACTTTGTGGCAATTGTGCCCTTTTACCTGGAGGTGGCGCTGAGTGGCCTATCCTCCAAAACAGCCAAAGACGTTCTGAGCTTCCTGCGTGTTGTGCGCTTTGTCCGTATCCTACGTATATTCAAGCTGACCCGCCACTTTGTTGGTTTACGTGTGCTGGGCCACACTCTGCGTGCCAGCACTAATGAATTCCTGCTGCTCATAATCTTCCTGGCACTAGGTGTCCTCATCTTTGCTACCATGATCTACTATGCTGAACGTATCGGTGCTGACCCAGATGATCCAACAGCTGCAGCCCACACCAACTTTAAGAACATCCCCATCGGCTTCTGGTGGGCTGTGGTGACCATGACCACGTTGGGATATGGGGATATGTATCCTGAAACATGGTCAGGAATGCTCGTGGGTGCCCTCTGCGCCTTGGCTGGGGTGCTGACAATTGCCATGCCAGTGCCTGTCATCGTCAATAACTTTGGCATGTACTACTCCCTGGCCATGGCTAAGCAGAAACTCCCCAAGAAGAGGAACAAGCACATCCCCAGGGCGCCACAGCCAGGCAGCCCAAACTATTGCAAGCCAGATGCCCTGGCAATGGCGACAGCATCTCCTCACAGGTTGATGGGAAATGTGCTCGGGCCTGGCATGGTGGGATCTGGCAGCATGATGGGTACTGGAGACTGCCCATTAGCACAGGAGGAGATCATTGAGATCAACAGGGCAGGTGAGTAACTGGACAGAGGTGAGCCAAGTCTCTTATGGAGTTTGAAGGGATGTGAGGGGGAAAGTTTCTTTAGGTGAAGCTGCTTTAAAGATGATGGATTCTTCCAAACAAAGAGGGAATTATTGTCCCCCTATGAAAGATGAAGTGTTGTTAAACAGAGCAAGCTTTTTTAAGGTGTTTTTTAAACATAGTTTTATTTTAGCTGCTTACATTGAACAATATCACTTGACAAAAAACACAAACTACCAGGGTCAGCATTATTATTGATAGTAATAATCAGCCTGTTGTTATTACTCTTCTTTGCAAATCTTCCAAGCTCCTTCAGATTCGATGGTCCTGGGGGACGTTAGTCTTCGGTTCAGTAACATTCACGTTTGTCTTCCGTACTTATTCATCAGGAGCGATGTATGACAAAGTGATGACCGAGGCACAGTTTTACAGCTTGAGGTTTTCCTTTAAAATTCTGTCCTTTCTTCATGATTCCTTCCACCTTAACGAGAGTTCCACAATCACTGAGCCGTCCCCAGAGCATAATATTCCATAATACTCCCACCGCCATGTTTCACTGTGGGGTCGATGTGTTGCACACTCTTATTTCTCCAAACGTAAGCAGCACTTAGATGAGCTCTAGTTTCATCTCATCTGATTACAAGATTACAATTCCCAGCTTCCAACTTCTGTCGGGCTTGTTCTGTACGACATGAGGGTTAGGGTTATCCCCTAACCTTTTTAATTTGTGCAAATTGGAAGATAACTCTCAGTTTTTGCGCATTTTGAGCACGACAAACCTATCGCACATCATTACACATCAGTGTGCTGTCAATAAAACTAATAATAATAATATTGACCCTGGTGAAAAAGGTTAGAGTTAGGAAGTTTCAGCTATTAGGAAATTCTTAAGTCTCGAAGGGCAAGTTTGAATCTGGGCCGTTTCTCACAGACTGATTCTCATTACTACTGGTAATCTGCAGGTGGCACTGATTTTTATTATTGTACAATCTACTGTACAATATGAAGCGCCTTGAGGCGACTGCTGTTGTGATTTGGCGCTATATAAATAAATTTAATTTAAATTGAATTTAACTCATAAATTGCATTGTGTAACTATAGCAACATTACAAACACATCCACGATTGTGATGTTGTGCAACTGCAAAGGAAACCAGTGATGTCCTCACTTTGATTTCTTTTCTGTCCATTACTCAGTTATTTTGTGAAAGTGCACTGTTGACCTGACGATGACATCTATTGTGGCTGTTAGAATATCTTTAACAAATTGATGTGACAGAGCATACAGACAGGTCCTGAGGCTGTCTGTATGCTCTGTCACAACATGTTGCCACAGAGTTGAAGAGCTTCAGACGCCACCTCACCACATAAAGGTGTTGGAGCTTATTTGTTGATAGTAGTGGGAGACCAAACAAGCTCAGCGTATTGACTCATTCTACTTAAAAATGCATTTGGAAATATGAATAACACACAAGTCACACTCTTAAAAAAATCAATTATAAAACAAAAAGGGAAAAGGGTGTTTTGAAAGATATTACAATAGAGAATGATGAGATTGATGAGATGACCAGTTGCTCAATATAATAAAAAGCATTTCACTTCATGTGATACTGTCTCTGCTTGTGTGCTGTGGTTAAAGTAAGCTGGAAGAATCCAGAACAGTTTTCCAGCTACTTCAGTCGTCATCCATCCTTCCTTTTCCACTTACCCAGCTCAAGGTCATGTAGTGCTCAAAGCTTCTATAGGTTGAGAGGCAGAGTGTAGACACATAGCCAGTTTGTTGGCACCCTAATGCAGAGAGAGTCATTCACACCTATGGGCTGTAGACACACCAGTTAACATAAGATCAGTAACTACATGGCAGAGCACCTGGAGAGAACCCTCACAGACATGAGGAGAACAGGACAACAATGTTAACCACCATAGTGCATATTTGGTTAATAAGCAATTAAAGCTGATTGATCATGTTTTGTGTGCTACATTGTGGCATTCTAGTGACACCATGGAGATGAGTAAAAAGAAAAGAAAGATGTAAGACAGGACACGTTCAGCACGTCATCTATGCCTATATATACATACATCTTTGTTTCAGGCATTGAGATATTCTAATTTTGTGTTATAAGTAAGTAACGTTTATTTGTTCAGCACTTTTCACAGACAGTCACAAAGGGCTGTACACAAAAAAGAGAAATAAATTAGAACATGAAGTGTCACAATAGAGAATAAAAAGGTACAAAGTAACAAAATAAAATGAACAGGTTAAAAATAAATAAATAACAATTCTATAAAATTCTCAACAGAAAGCCTGATTTAAAAAACAACAACAACCTACAATTGAATTCAATTCGTTTTTTAAAATGTATTCATACACTAAATCACAACAATAGTTGCCTCAAGGCAATTTATATTGTAAGGTAAAGACCCTACAATAATATAGGAAAAACCATCAGGTGACCACCAACGAGCAAGCACTTTGGCAACAGCGGGAAGAAAAAACTCCCGTTTAACAGGAAGAAGCCTCCAGCAGAGGGAGGGGCTAAACTACACCAAGATTTCAAATACTGGACTAAGCAGCTGAAGCAGAAGGAGACAGAGCTTGATTCACAGCACGTGACCCCCATAGAAGAGATAAGAAATGTTAAAAGATTAAATGTTTTGATTCATCCTGGCACACAGCTATAACAATCGTGGCTCAAGAGTTGGGAGTTCGCCTTGTAATCGGAAGGTTGCCGGTTCGAGCCCCGGCTTGGACAGTCTCGGTCGTTGTGTCCTTGGGCAAGACGCTTCACCCGTTGCCTGCTGGTGGTGGTCAGAGGGCCCGGTGGCGCCAGTGTCCGGCAGCCTCGCCTCTGTCAGTGCGCCCCAGGGTGGCTGTGGCTACAATGTAGCTGCCATCACCAGTGTGTGAATGTGTGGATGACTGGATGTGTAAAGCGCTTTGGGGTCCTTAGGGACTAGAAAAGCGCTATATAAATGCAGGCCATTTACCATAATGGTCACTCCTATAATCTTTTAACTGCCTTCTCCTTCCCTCTTTTACCAGACTCCAAGCAGAACGGTGATGCAGCAGCTAACGCTGCGGCTCTGGCCAATGAGGACTGCCCTACCATCGACCAGGTCCTGGGAGATGAGCGTAGCCCGGCTACCGGTGGGCTAGGCTCCACCCCCAGCCGTGAGCGCTACCCGCACGACCGGGCGTGCTTCCTGCTGAGCGCAGGGGAGTTCCAGCGCACAACAGACGGAAACGTTCGAAAAGGTAAGGGGGTGGAGGGGGATACTGAGGGGAAAAGATGCAGAGAGGGGAGGGGGGTACTTGAGTGACAGCAGTACATGATCCTGATTGATTAAAGCAACAATATGCATAGTGTGTGAAAATATCACGTTTGAGCTCAGACTTACATACATATATACACACGTACACTGAGTTAACTACAACACTGAGAGAAGATTACTCCAACATAAGCAATAATAAAAAAGCCATGGTGTTGTCATTTAAAATAAAATGAGTTAAATCATCCTAAAGCACACAATTGATCACATTCCCATTCCATCCATTCTTTTTAATGCAAGCTTAGTTTTGCAGTCTCACTGCCTTGAGACTGTTCATAATCACAAACGCTGTCCGTGGCACATGTAACACATGACTCTCCTTTCTGCTTTCCAAGTATGTGATTGTAGAGGAAGTTCCCTAAATTTGTATGTCCTCCATCTGTACTGCAGAGGTCACTGCGGCGCTAGTGTCTGGTGCCCTGAGATTGAGTGACTAGATTTACTGTGCTGAACCACAAAAGTAATCACTGATTCATTGAACTGAATTCAATGAATTGAAAAATCATTGTATTAATATTCTGCACTGAGGTGACTGAAGAGTCCCTTAGTAGTACTACACTGTCCTTCAGTGTATGCTTCACACTGTTTATGGCAGCTGATAGAGCTCTTTGTGTCAATCTCTTTTCACACAGCTAAACTGCTTCATTATGAAACACTACTCTTTTTGAGGGATTATAATGTCAACTGTAATTCTTTCTCCAGGTAGGTATTACACAGCAGATACTGGTGCTACTTTATGTTTTTATACTGTCAACAAATCCCATGAAAACTAAAGTAACACTAGCAAATATGTTTTCCTGTCATGGACCTCTGCTGGCAGCATACGTCAGGGTTTCTGTCCGACTTTGATCAAACTGTCAAATACTTGTTTTCCAAATTGTAATTATGCCGTCTGTACTTATATACAGTGATCACAAGCAAGATATAATGTGACAGACTCTCAGAGAAAAGGGCTATTTCCCCCAGGTTGACCAATTTGGTGGTGGTGGGTGGCACTGGTAGATGTTATGTGCACCATGTCCTCCCTGCTGACTGATAGCAGAGTTGACTCAGAGTCATTTGGGATCATGTTGGGATATATTCCATAGTAGGAAATAGTCCCTTCAGACGTCTTTCCACTGCTAGATGTGCAGAGACAGCACACATAATGCTTATTCACAAGGTATGAATGCATCATTGGAATAACTGGGCTATCTATGCCCGAGGAGCTGGCAGGTTGAAAAACAGCTAATGTGGAGATTTGTGTGCTTACATGGTCCTCCAGCTAAAGGGCTCCAGACTAGTGTGGATACTCGTTTCCTTCTGGGCTTTGTTCACAGTAAGAAACATATCGGACGTCATGTATATTTAGATCATTTTTTGTAAGTGTGCTATTTTTCATATTTTATCTTGCTGAACAGATGGATCAAATACGTTTCAGTGTGTTCACCATATCACCCTGCTTCATTGTTCTGCTCTCTCTCTCACTGTCACTCTTATCTATTCACTGCATAGTTTATTTTTCTTACTTTGTTACACTGAAGTTCATTAACTGTTCATTCTTTGTTTCTTTCTCTCTTCCTCATACTCTCTTCTTTCCCATCTCCACTGTCTTGTCTATTATTCATCCATCCGATGATTCTTACTTTGCCCCCTTCTGCTGCTGCTTATTGTCCGCCAACTGTGTCTGCTGATTGTCCTCATCCATTCATTTTCCTATTATATTCTTGTTCCCAACGTAACGTTTGCCAACATGACCTGCCACACAATTTTCCTTGACCTTCCTTTTTTTAAACTCTCTCACAATCGTCCTGTACCCCCCACACTGTATTTCCCTGATTCACACACACACACACACACACACACACACACACACACACACACACACACACACACACACACACACACACACACTTAGCCACGAGCTGGAGGGGGCTCTGTTACAGCTCGGTAGGATTCCACCTTCTCCTGGATCAAACCACAGAGACACAGAGGTAACCCAGAGCACCCTTAATAACCTGAACTACTAAACTGCATAAGTGAACCAAAGATTACCTTTAAAGCTAATTAAACCACATTAGATCATTAAATATTGCAATAGATATCATTTGACTGAATATGGCTCAAATACAAATACAATTAGAAGAAAAACAATACAGTTCACTACACCAGACTAACTATGCTAACATACTGTCACTGAAATGAACCCCTTGAGTCACCTTCAGTGCTGAGTCGTAACCTTATGATATCAGAAGTTGGGTTTTCTTCTTCTTCTTCTTAGAAACAACAACAACAAAAAGTAAGAATCATTCTGATGCACATAAAATGATTCACAGCTTCCAATATTAAACTAGACTACATGTACTACATCAGAGTGCATATAATGTAGTGCACTTAATGCAGTACATTAGAGCTCTGGTCATTAGGTTAGATTAGGCTCAAAATCAGAATCAGAATACTTCATCAGTCGGGGAGAAAATTATGTGGTCACAGTTGATCCAAGACAGCAAGAACAGGAACTAACTAAACTCAATTCAATAATATTACAAAATATAGTAAAAAGAGTCTAATAAATACAAATAGATCTTATAAATATCCCAGTATATTAGACAAATGAAAAAGAAATATGTGACATTTTGCTGCCCTTCTTATCATATTGACTTGATGTTTAGGGTGTGTACTTGTGACTTTGATGGAGGGATCGTACAGCGAGCTAGCCAGTTTCCTGTGTAGTTAGTGGTGTATTTGGGTAATCTTAGTATCCCGTTGTACTGGCCTGTGACCTGTCATGGAGTAGGTGAGAGGTATTGTCCAGTATTCTCCTCATCTTGGACTTCTTCTCCTACACTACCTTTAGGGAGCTCCAACCTCACCATCTTACTGGCCTTGCACATCATTTTATTGAGTCTCTTGGCATCCATGACCCTCAACCTCCTGCCCCAACATGCAACTGCATAGAAGATAGCACTGGCCACAACGGACTCGACAATCCTGAGTATTGTCCTACAGATGTTAAATCATCTCAGCTGTCTCAGAAAATACAGACGCCTCTGGCACTTCGTGTAGATTGCAGCTGGTTTTCTGGTCCTCTTAAAGTCCCCAATCAATTCCTTGGTCTCTGTCACATGGAGCTGCAGATGATTCTGCTCGCACCACGTAACAAAGGAGTCCACCACTACTGGGTACTCCATTTCATTCCCCCCACTGATGAATCCAACCAGAGCAGAGTCATCAGAAAATTTCTAAACGTGGCAGGAAGGTCCATTAAGTGACTGATGTCTGTGGTGTAGAGGGTCAATAGGAAAGGAAAGAGGATGGATGCTTGTGGGGTAGCAGGTATATGATGGCATCCTCAGCTCTGAGGCAGGGCTGGTAAGCAAACTGAAGGGGTGCAGATGTGGCCTAACAGTCTTTCCAGGGTCTTCATGATGTGGGAAGTCAGTGCCATAGGCCTGTAATGCTGGGGGCCTCTGGGACGTGGCTTCTTTGGTACAGGAATGAGGCAGGACGTCTTCCACAGCAGCGGGAACCAACTCACGTTCAGCATGAACGTTTTAATAAAGACTCCACAAAACTGGGGGGTACGAGCCTTGAGGACATGGGGAACTCACCCCGTCTGGTCCTGCAGACCTGCCTGAGCGGAGTCTTCACATTTTACTCTGAACCTGGTCGAGACTGATAGTGACAGGTGGGGGAGGGGTTTCTGGTCTTTCTCGGGAGGCTATAGACCCTTTGACATAGGACGCTGCACACAGAGCACTGTGCTCTAAAGCCCATCTATTTCTATTGCTTGTGCTGTACAATGGTGGTTTCCCGTTGCACCACGCCAAGCACAAGCATGTCAGTGCAAGCATGCCAGCACTTGCCCTGGCATACAAATGCAATGCAAGCGCTTTCCTTTTTGCTAAAGCATATAGTTAGGGCTGGGTCAGGTGACCCTGACTCCTCCCTTAGTTATGCTGCAATAGTTGTAGGCTGCTGGGGGACTCCCATGATGCATTGGGTGTTTCTTCTTCACTCACTATGTGTTAACAGACCTCTCTGCATTGAATCATACTTGTTATTAATCTCTGGCTCTCTTCCACAGCATGTCTTTATCCTAAGGCCCCCTCCTCGATTTAGAGATGGTCTTTCCCTTTTCGCGTAAAGCAGCGTTCCTCCATTTCCAGAATGTGGACATCCTCATCATTGAAAGAGTGTCCACTGGCCCGTAGGTCTAAATGGCCTGATGAATTAAGTCTTCTGTGTTGTCCACTTAGCCAGAGATTGTTTGGATTCCCCGATGGATGAATCATGGCGGTCGTTCTCTCTCCCCAACCGGTCGCAGCAGATTTAGATTTAGGTTAATTTAGATTTACCAGTTATTCTAACCACATTAGCTTCATGTCTTTGGACTGTGAGAGGAAGCTGGAGTACCTGGTCAGAAACCAAAAGAAACACAAGTAGCCATGTTAACGCCACTCAAAATTGATTCCAGCCTGGTTCCTGAAACTTATGGCCTGTTTCTACGCTGACTGATATGCTGCAGGGTCCTCCCTCCTTTTAAATTGCCTTTATTACTTTTAAATGAGATCAGTCACTCTGAGGGTAAACACTATCTCCAGAAGCTCTGTGGTGACAGAACAAGGTACATCTGCTTATTCTGTGCAGAATATTGTGACATTTCGTGACATCGAGCCTGAGTTGCCCATGTTAAACTGTGACCATTGTTGGTGTATTTCTTTAATCAGCAACCGGAGTTTAACAGCTGACAGAGTGAACAGGATATATAGAGGTAAAGTCTGATAAGATCAGTGATGTCGTAGGGAAATGTTGGCTCCTTATTTATGTTACAGAAACACAGAGCTTTGAGGTCAGGTGGATGGCGTGTTTTTGTTTTGTTTTTCTAATGAAAGTAGAGCCATTGTTCCCTGATGATAATATTGATACGAATATGCATTTGTACAAGATAGAGACCTTTTTTTCCCCCCGAGGTCCACAATCTTATCAGACCGCATGATACGCTGGCAAACAGAGATAACCATTTGTTGAAAATGACGAATCTGCTGATGCAACATCTGCAAGCTGGTCTCGCAGAAAGTGGACTATATAAAAGAATCTGAGCAGTTAATGTAAAACAGTGTCACCAGGGCGATCAGCTGATCCCTGGAGTAAATAAAGCATGAGGTGTGTAGCTGCTTCACCCCGATCCCATTCTTCACTGAAAATAACAGAAGGAAGAAAACTCTCTCAACCCACACGTATGAGACAGAGCTATTTAAAACAAACACTCTACAATAATAATAAAGAGAAGTAAGTAAGAAAAAAAACAGGAGCAACTGAAACAGGCACCTTGAGGTTCAGATAGAATAAAACAGAAAATAGTAGAATAGCTAACCTGGATTATGGCAGGTTAGACCCATGATGACATTAGAAAAAATTACCATATTACCATAGTAGATTTAAATAGATTAAAGTGGATTAAACAAAACAATTTATCGTATTTCATGAAACCTTTACAGTCAGTTCAGTTTTATTCCACACATATTAAAATCCCACTAATGTGAAGTACAATGCTGTGAAAAAGCCCCCGTACGGATTTTTAATAGACAAAGAAACTGGAATAAATGCACAGTTTTTAAATGATGATTGTATATCTTACAGCAGAAAAGCTATTCAAATGTATGTAATTCCCCCTTTGCAAATTATGTCATTAACTACATGTTTTTGGAAAGCTGAGCTCAGTTGAATTAGCCACATCAAATCTAAAGAAACAGCTGAGAAACAAAGTTATTGAAATCTATCAGACGGGAAAGGGTTGTGCTCTGGGACTCCAACAAACCAACAAAGACTCTAATAAACCATGGTGAGAGCCACTATCCACAATTGGAGAAAACTCGGAACAGTGGTGAACCTTCCCAGGAATAGCTAACCTACCAAAATTAGGGCAGAACTTGTAATTTGGCTTAAAAATTTTGGCATAAAAGTGAAAAATTAATGCAGCAAAATGTGTCAAATTAAGGACACATTACCTTTTGAGGTTGCTGTTGCTGCACCATCAACAGTAGTACCAGCTCCCATCCCAGGAGGGTGCTGTTGCTAGCACAAACCATCGACAGGTACAGGAGGAGGGACAGCATTCCCAACGAGCACGAGGAAGATACAGAGGAAGGTGAAATTATACAATATTGAAATTTGTTTGCAAAAAAAAGATACCAGAGTCAACATTAACATCAGATCACACGACATAAAACCTTGCAATACACACGCGCACACACACACACACACACACACACACACGCCCGTTCAGCTATCTTAGTGAAGACCTTCATTGACATAATGCTTTCCCTAGCCCCTTACCCTAACCCTAACCATTAAAGATGAATGCCTAACCATAACCTAATTGTAACTCTGACCCTGAAACCACATTTTGAGCCTCGAAAATGCCTTTAAATGCTTCAAATTTGTGAGGATTGGTTTGTGTGTCCTCACAAGTGACTGTTGGTTCTCACAAGTATAGTAGAATGCAGATTTCGGTCCTCACAAAGATAGCTAGACAGGAACACACACACTGTGTTTTTGTTACTGTAAAGCTTTTAAGTGTGATTCAGCATCACATAGTAAATATGTTGGGGCATATGCATGGTTTCTGTATGTGTTTGTGTGTTTTCGTATAAATTACACTGGAAATTCAATCTGTGTGTGTAAATAAATTATATGCACATGGAAAGAATGCACATATAATTTATACATATTACAAATATGTGATTTAATATATTTTCACTGCTAACTATTATCAGCTGTGTTTATCAAGCCATTATTGGCCCACTACATCTCGTTACAGCTAATTACAGCCAGGATAGCTCCCCCAGAATCTGGGGAGCTATCCTGCATTGCCTCTTGACACAAATTACTTGCCTTTCCTTACACATAAAATGTACGTAATTACATTTCTTCCATCCATCCTTCCATTTTCTGCCGCTTACATGGGTTTAAGTCTCAGGGGCAGATGTCT